TTGAAGCAGGATGTCGTATTTAACGAATCTGACATACGATTTTTAGCATTTTGCCAATATATCTGACAACTGATGCGCAGTATTTGATAAGTTGTGGCCAATATGTTATATGCAGTAGATGTCAAAATGTCAGTAGATGTCATCAGTATCTGTCAACTGATGTAACAGAATTTAGGAAACATCATTCATTTAACAAATCAAAACAGGAAGATTGTGAAATTATGATGTGAAGTCATGATTTCAGATGCCGGATGTAAAATTTCTGAAGGCAAATTTCAACATTAAAACTTTTTTTCTTTTTGGTAATCTGTAGTTTTGCTGGGTTTTGAAAAACTGTATTCTGTTTCTGCTCTATTTCTTTCTACAACAGATCCCAAGTAAATGTCAATAATATGTAACATTCACAGCCATACCACACTGCCTGAAGCAGATTGGGGCTGTCAACACTTTTTGCCACAATCTCTGCCCCCCCACCAAACTTCCTCATCCTCTGTTGCCTTCCAGGATCCCTTCAGATTTGCTGCCTGAGACACATTGCTCAAAAGAGGACCAGCCCTGTAAACATATGAAATAGGCTCAAATGACACTTTTCCCAGGGCTGACATGAGGAAGGATCCCTAAGTGCTCATCAGTTTAGAGCAGAGTTGGGGAACCTGTAGCCCTCCAGATGTTGTTAAAATCACCCCTGAGCATGCTGTCTGAGGCTGATGGAGTCCAATAATATCTGGAGGGTCACAGGTTGCCCATCCCTGGTTTAGAACCTACAGTAATGATTCTGTCTTTTGTACCAAATGAGGGAGCTCAGAGGTGGGCAGTAGAATCGGAGTCTCTCTAAGAAACCTAGCAACTGACCCTTGAATTTTAAACACTTTTTTACTTGTTAGTCCATGTATAGAGTGAATAATGGAGTTGATAGGAACTTTGACTTTATTTGGTGTTTGTGCTGAAGATTGCACACCAGGTCCCCAGATGCTTACTAGCAGCCATGAACCTGTGCTAGAGGTTATCTTCACTTATGTGAATTGGCCTGGTCTGTTTATGGCTATTCAAGTAACTCCCACATGCTTAGTCATTAATTTAGATCATTCCTTTGCTTTTGGGGGGTGGGGGAACAGGTTCCCGGAACTCAGCAGCCAGACGTGGTGGGTGTTATTTTGGAACATTTAGTGAAAGTGACTGCATTATTTTCCTGTGTCTTTCTCTTGTTACTGTAAATATTTTCACTGAACATTATGTATCAAATACTGCTTTCGGATTATATTTGTGCTACGAGATCTGGGGGTGACGACAATGAAGTGCATGGCAGTGAATGACTCATACCACAGAGAAGGTAAGGAGACTCTAGGATCTCTTCCTGCCTTTGGCTGAATGGCTCTGATGATATCGGGGGGGGGGGGCGGCTGGAAGGAGAGAAGGAAGAGGGGCCTTGGAAAAGAGAAGGCAGAAGGCCAAAGGAAGTGAGGGGGCTAGGGAAGGAGAGTTTGAAGAGGACATGGTTCTGAAGAATTATGTGCAGAGGCGAAGGTCAGAGTGGAATGAAAACCGAGTGTGAACAGAATTATGTTATCAGCTGGTATTTGAGTTTGGTCCTTTAAATAAACAGAACGATCAGCTTCTGCAGGATTGATCATGTACTAAGGTCCAGTATACAACAGCATGGTAATAAATTCCCAAAGAATGGAGATGATCTTTTATAGAGAGTTGTTTCTTCCTCCTCCACCTGCTGTTCTTAGATTTCCTTCAGCTTCCTCTCACTACTCAGGAAGCAAACTTTGAAACTTCCTGTTTCTTTCTTCACCTGAGCTCCTAATAGGATCCATCTGTAATTGGCTCTGCCTGGGACTCACTCCACATGTGCTCTAGATCTTCTGCAAGCACTCTCTCACACAGACACCTCCACAATCCTGTGACATAATACCCGGACAAATGTCCTTCTTGGCCTCTGTCTTAACAAGGTAAATATCTCCCTGACCTACTGGGACAGAAAGTCATGCGCACAAAGCAATTGAAAGGAACTAAGGCCTATAACATTTAAGCAAATATTGGTGAGACAGCAGTCATTTCATTACTATCATGTTTACAGTAGTAAATGTAGAACAAGAAATGTTTATGAGCACCTCAAGTGACTGTTGCAGGAAAGCCACTGGCAGACCTCCTCTAGAAAGCCACTCCACATTTTTCAGTGACAGGGAGTTCTGTCATGGTCAGGTTTGGAATTAGAATACCAAAAGCATTTCCCTCAAAATGCAGGAAAATGCTCAGTTTCTTCCAAGCTCAATTTGATCAAAACAGACCCTGTTGCGATACCAGTTATGTCTTTTCCGAGTCTAATAAGGTCTGAACTCTTTCTCAACTTCCTAGCATGCCTTGAAAGCTCCTCCCTTCAAATACAGTGGTACCTCGGGTTACATAAGCTTCAGGTTACATACGCTTCAGGTTACAGACTCCGCTAACCCAGAAATAGTACCTCAGGTTAAGAACTTTGCTTCAGGATGAGAACAGAAATCGTGCTCCGGCGGCGGGGCGGCAGCAGGAGGCCCCATTAGCTAAAGTGGTGCTTCAGGTTAAGAACAGTTCCAGGTTAAGAACGGACCTCCGGAACGAATTAAGTATGTAACCAGAGGTACCACTGTACCTGACCATCTCATTTTTGAGCTTGGGTGAAGGAATGTCTCTTCCCACTCTTGCTCTTGGCATACTAGTGAGAAAACTACTGGTACTTATCCCAGCATTCCTGGCACCTGGAGCAGCAGGCCAGGCACCAGAAGGGGGCTGGGGACAATAAAAAAATTCCTCCTTTCACCTCACCGCTACCCAAGCAGTAAGGAAGGTAATGAAGCAAATGGGAAGAGGGATTTAAGAACATAAGAAGAGCCTGCGGCCCATCTAGTCCAGCATCCTGTTCTCACAGTGGCCAACAAGATGTTTGTGGGAAGCTTGCAAGCAGAAATTGAGCACAAGAGGACTCTTGCCTCCTGCAGCTTCCAGTGGCGTAGCTATGGGGGGCAAGCTGGTTTCTTTGTCCTGGGTGAAGCCTCCATTGAGGCTCCCAGCCTGTGTGTGTACACAAATGTGTGTGGGGTGGGTGCCGAACTGGGTCTTGGACCTGGGTGAAATAAAGCCTAGTTTTGCCCCTGTTTCCAACAACTGGTATCCAGAAGCCTAGTGCCTCAGAACATGGAGGCAGAGTATGGCCATCATGGCTAGTAGCCACTGGTAGCATTACCCTCCATGTGTTTATCTAATCGTCTTTTAAAGCCATCCAAACGGAAAGCCATCACTGCCTTGGGTGGGAGCGAGCTCCATAGTTGAACTGTGAACTGTGTGAAGAAGTCCCTTCTTTTGTCTGTTCTGAATCTTCCAGCATTCAGCCGCCTTGGATGTCCAAGAGTTCAAGTGTTAGGAGACAAGGAGACACACTGCAACCTAAGGGAGTTGCTTGGTCATTTTAGTTGCCTCTTCCTGGACCTTAAAATTTCTTCTTTGGTTCAGATTAAAATCCAGGCAAGAGAAGAACTTTGGGGCCATAATGATTGCCTAATATTTGGAAATGAGCACTACAAAGTGCTGAGATTCATATTATGGAGCCAGGATATACGAGTTTGGGCAGTGTTACTGGTGAAGATTGGAATGAGATTAGAGCATGCCTATAGGCAATTTTTTTCAGGCTGTGTCCGGCTAAAAACAAAACAATGTAAGCGTCGGAGACATTCCAGTACAAAGCTTTACACATCCATCTCAGGAACTGCAAAAGGCTGCTCAACTGGGAAACTTCAACCTGCCAGGAAAAAAGTGCTCCATGTTATTAATATATGGGATGCCAGTCTCCTCATCCTTCACAGCTTTTTTTGCTCAAATGATTCAACTGGTAAAGACACATTTGTAGTGAACACTGGCTCTCTATAGCAAGTCACAAGGGTCTCTTTAATCCCAGAAGCCTTAATGTCCTATGAAAAATGTGAGAATCCCCCAAAGCAGGCTTGAACCCAAACAGTTTGAAATGGCCTGTTTTGCATTTACACTGTGTTTTCTGCCCTTTTATTTCTGTTTTATCATTTTTCCTCTTTCTTCGTTATTTTAATAGCGCTCTTCCTAGTCATAACAAGCAACTTTTTCCGAATCTGGCTTTGATTGATTTTATTCTGCAGATGCTACTTATGGCTGTGAAAAAAGGGTGGAAGAGGAAGAAGAGGGCAAAGAGTTTTTCTTTGCTATTGAGGCTGTTTTCATCCAAAGGGGAAAAGGAAGTGTTTGTTTGCCAGCTAGATTTCATTGCAGTCTGAAATTTGCCTGGTTTGCATATGAGAGCTTATTGATTTTGAAGCAGCCAACTGTGGCTCATGAGACAAATTCATTTCCAGCTATTGTGCCTGAAAGAGGGAATTGAATGGTGACCCCACCCTCAGCCATAGCTATTTAGCAAGTTGTTTCCCTAGATATATAAAAATTAAGAGAAGGGTTTTATATAATACCATACCCCAGTTCTTACATACAGATTTCCCTCCCATGCATAGTGGCTTCAACACCACAGCCAAGTGAGGGAATCCATGTATGAATTGATTTCCCTGCAACATGTCCAGTTACACATTCATGTAATGTCTTCCCTGTTTAGGGAAGTTTTTAATGTTTAATGTTCCATTGTGGTTTTAAAATTTGGTTGGGAGCCGCCCAGAGTGTCTGGGGAAACCCAGCCAGATGGGCGGGTGGGCGGGGTATAAATAATAATAATAATAATAATAATAATAATAATAATTTGTGTATATGTGTGAGGGGGCCTCAATGTGGTGAGCACACTGCATGCTCAAGCAGCAGAATGGCCCCACAGTACGTCTTTCACATGGTTATGGCAACTGGGGCTATTCTGTGCTAAAGAATATTGAAAGTAGGGACTATGGGAACTTTGTTGAAGAGGCATCAATATACATTGTTGCCTCTCCAACAAAGTTCCCATAGTCCCTACTTTCAACTCTAGAAGAGTGTTTTAATTTGCAGATTTCTGAGATCTTGCAGGCAGATCACTGGCAGCAACTTTTTTTTTTTTTGTACTTATTAGTTACCCCACTCCCCCAGAAAGGATGAATCTGGATTGAACAGATGGAAAATGTAGGGTGGCTATTTTTATGCCGACGACAATGTGTGGACTCTGCAAAGATGTTGCAGGTGCAAGGGACACTGATCCCACAACAAACACCTTGAGTCAGCAGAGTCCATAAAAAGTGGTGATCTAACATTTAAGGTGACAGTTTGTGCCTTGGGCTCCTTTCCTTTCCCCACAAAGGTCTGGTGGGACTCAGAACAAATACATTTTGCAGTCGTTTTTTGTTTACATCACCAAAACCAGTGACAGGATGCAAAATACATCAGGCTGGGAGCAACCACAAGGAAGGCCACACATTTATTCACATATGTCCATTCTACTGAGGCCTAAAAAAACAACCACCATCACCACCATCAGGTGGTATGGGAAAACATGCTTCACCAACTTTGACTGATTTTAAAATGGCCTGCAACTACCTACTTTAGACTAATAGTCACTAAATGTTTCACTAAGGAGTCTAACCAAATAGTATACTTTATATTTTATGCATAATTTAGTTTATTTCTGCCAGTGATGGAAAAGAATACAGTACCCTGATTTATAAGCTCCAATAGTCATGATCTCCAAATCACAGAACTCCTACTGAGACCTTTGCTTTCTGTTGTTTCCTCGACTATTCACTTATCAAACCTTTCCTTATAATCATATGGACTGGAAGCTTGGTGTTTGTTGGTTTGTTTTTAATTTAATGGAGCTGAGATTCTCAGAATCTAAATCTCTTTCTCTTTTTTATTCTTCATCTTCACTGTTGGAATTGTAAAACAGACCCACTGCTGTATGTGATTTCTTGCTTTCTGCTGAACATCTTAAGCAATTGATATGGGAGAAGGTATGTTGTAAGAGCTACGTAAAAGAAAGGCACAATACTGAGCAAAGATTTTTAAGTCAGTGGGCTTGTTTACAGGGACAAGACATATTACTGCTTCTTACAAGTATCTGTGTAATAAGAAAAAGAAATGAAAGCATAATTAAACAGGTTCCAAATCTCATTGTGTATCTTGGCTTGACACTTTTTGGACCTCTCCCCTTCTGCCTTTCTTGTTTCCCAGGGTGAACTAGGCCATTAAATCTAGGCCAGTCTTTTCCAGTTATTCAAGAGTGATTATCTTTTTGAGAACAGTAAAACCCTTGCTGCAAATATTGGTTTATAGTTGTTGTATTTTCAGGTGTTTAACATGGTTCCTGAGTATGAAACGAGAGCTCCAACAGTGCAGTGACCAGACTAAAAGAAACAGAGCTACTGCTTTTAAGACTTTGCTTTTATGCAGTTTATGATCCTTGTAAATAATGCACCACCCTTGTCTCCCTTTGGATGTCTACGAAGAGCACAGTCATTGCCTTACTGGATGAGGCCAGTGGTCCATCTGGTCCAGAAATTCTTGGCCAGTTACTTGGTGCCTTTGGAAGCTGACAAGTAAGGCAAAAGGACTACAACTCCCATCATCCCTGAGCTGTGGCCTTGCTAGCTAGGGGTCATGGGAGTTGTAGTTCAAAAACATCTGGGGACCCACAGGTTTAGAAAGGCTGGTTTAGGCTTTCCCTTGTTGCTCATCTATTCCCCAGTGTGTGGTATGCAGAGGATCACTAGCTGCTTTTTTTAGCATTTTCCTTATGGCCCCATCACTTAAACCAGTCCTCCCACTGCATTATTATGAATGAAGGCTAACCATGCTTGGTACTTCTCTCTCTGTTAGGATATTTAGAAAGAATCCCTCCTTCCTGCCCCCCTCTTCTTTTTGAAGGGTGTATATGGCTTTCAGTCAAGTCTTTATTTCTGGATCTTATCCTAATTTCATACCTTGGTTTGACAATAGCCTTTAAACCACTTTCCTCCTGCAGATGTCACAGGAAACAGTGGTTTAGGAAACCAGGGTATCTTTGCTGAAGTCAGGCATGCGAGGAGAGACACAGCAAGCACACATTCTTAGCCTGGATCAACCCCATGGATTGTCCATACTGAGATCATAATGACACCTGAACCAGGCTGTTGTACTTTGTCAAACGTACACTGCAAGACCTCAGACTTGCTTTCTGGCAGAGCAGCCAAGAATATTCAGCTGAAAAATCAAATCAAATGGGAACAAAAGGAAGCCTTGATATTCATCACTGGGTAATAAAATGGAGTAAGATGGCAGACCTTTCAGGATGGATTGTAACAGTATTAGAGACATGAATACAGGGCTGGCCCTGCTAGCAGAAGTCTGTGCAAGAACTTAGTCTAGTGTACTAGGGCTTCCGACCCCCTCCCACTTGGCTTGGGTGGTTGAGAGCAGGGCCGGGTTTAAGTTTGATGAGGCCCTAAGCTGCTGAAGGTAATGGGTCCCTTTATATGTGATATTTTAGGGAGCAGGCTAGCAGGCGGGGCCCATTACTTACATCATAGGAGCCTACACAACACAAAACACTGTAGATTTTATTTTATTTGTTTTTATCTTATATTTTGGAAAAGTACAACCAGTTTTTTCCCCTTTAAATTTTTTGGGGGCCTCCAAGAGAGTGGGGCCCTAAGCTACAGCTTGCTTAGCTTATACGTAAATCCGGCACTGGTTGAGAGAACCCCCAGAATAGCATGCAGTGGGTGGGGGGGGGGGGAAGAAGTAAGAAAATTCTATCAGGCAAGCAGAAATATTTGCACGGAAGGAGCTAGCGCCTTAGCACTATTGTGAATTCATCCCAATGAGAACATTCATTGTCAGTAATCTTTTTTTAAAAAAATGTTTGAGTTATTAATAATCTCTGTTGCTGAAGTTTCAGTGTTTGTGGGGAGAGGATTTAAAAATGGTAATCTAGTGATTAGTAAATGAACGACCGGAAATGTAAAACCTCTTGCTGAAGGAATACCCTCATCTACTCGACTACAGCCACTGAATGTTTTTTGAACTCCAAAAAAGCCTTCTCTTGTCTCCCCCAAATGCCTGAATTTCAGAAGTACTTGATTTATCTGTTGTCGTGTGATAAAATATCTGTGGAGCCTATAAACTTCTAATTGAAAGGACTGTAGATTGTACGAGAGCACATTTTCCTTCTCGGTTGTAAGTTCCTCTGGTGCATTTTGTCTTGTCCGCCAACCTTTTGTGTGCCTCTTTGTTCCAGTTCTTTTTTTCTTTTACATAACCCATGGATGTGTGTACTTGATGTGACGAATATGGCTTAGAGGTTTTGCCCCTCCCAACTCTTTTCATTGTGGATGCTTTCAGGATTTTTTTTAAAAAAATCAACCACTAGAGAAATCATCTTGCAGATCCCTACTGAATGAAAACATGCAAATCCTTGATTTGTAGCTCTCATAAAATGTGTTTTTGCCAGAATGTAAAAATTATTTATGTGGTAGAGAAGGTGAAATATGAATGTATCTTTTCTTCTTCTAATGCACTCACAAAGGACAGGGGTTAGCAGTGACGTGATAGGTCAGTCAGTGTTTTCCAGATACTATCCTTATTTTTATGTAGATATTTTAATTTTGTAGGCTCAATAAGGCAAGTCAGGCTCTTACTTATAGGATGATTCACTGGTTCCTTTCTCTGCTCACATTTGTTTCTGACGTTTTGTCCTCTGCTGTGTAATGCCACCTGCAGTCTGTTTGGATAATTCCAAAAGACATTGATAATCAGGTTTGGTTTACATGTTACTTGCTCCCCCAACTGCTGCCAGAAAGCTGTTCTATGTGCTGGGACCCACACACCAAAGAGTCATCGTTAAATGTCTCTTCTGCATGTGCAAGTCTAAATGCATGGAATTTTTGCATACTAACTTCAGGTTGACCTGGAATCCGCTGATTCCAGTAGGCAAATCATCCACATATGTAGAGCTTGCCAGCTTTTCCAACCCTATATGCATGAATTGGATGTATCATTAATCTGAATGTTTTCTGGGGAGGGGAAACAAATTATTTGGGGCAGGTAAGGCTGCCTGTCAGCCATGGCACAGCTGCTTATCATTTTTCTAAAGTATTTCTTCTTCTTTTCCGGCTGCCATTTTACACACACACACTACAATTTCCCAGACCTAGCATTGTTCCAGGGCGCTCTCTCTCTCTCTCTCTCTCTCTCTCACACACACACACACACACACACACACACACACACACACACACGCACACATGAACCTTAAGAGATTATTCTGTCAAATGGTTGGCTTCAGGATGTGGAGAGGGTTCTTCCTAGGCTGCACACCTCCCCAGACCAAACTCCCTATTAGGGACGGACTTTGGTAATACGGCATCCAGAGCAAAGACAAAATTTGGTGCCCCTCATAAATATAGATATTTTCCCTCCTTGGCTTGGCAGTCTGTGCAGGGGAACTGCCCACACCACCCTAAATCTGGTGCTGCTCCTATTTCCCCCTATTGGTCTTGCTCCATGGCCTCGTAGGGTGCTTCTGTCTGGATGGAGTGATGTAGGTGTGGTGTGGGTGTATGTTGAAACTTTACAAACCTGTCAAACACTTGTCAAACCTGTTGTTGCACATACCTTTGCCCCTGGTCTTGCCCACCACTGGCATGCAGCCCACAAGAGCAGAGCCGTCTTCCCCATAGGCCTTAGTGGTGCATCGCACCAGGGCACCGGCCTCTCAGAGGCACCCCAGCGAGTGGGGGAGCTGCGCGGCTTTGCCAGCGGCCTCCACTTTCCCTGCATACCCGCCAGCAGCACCCCGCCAACCATATGGCTGGCAGGCATGCAGCTTGCCTCCCAAGTCTCTGTGGCAGGAGAGCTATCTCCGCAGAAGCTTAGGCTGAAAGCTGCGCCCCACCAACCATATGGCTAGCGGACACGCAGCTGCCCTCCCAAGCCTCTGTGGGGATTGCTCTTCCACAGCGGCATGGGGGAGAGTTGTGCCCCCCGATGGCTGGCAGTGCACAGCTCCCCCACCCCACTATCTGTGGTAATTTGGGGGCGCTGGGAGGATATTTGCACCCCGGCGCCGCATCTGCTAAAGGCGGCCCTGCCCAAGAGATTGTTCATGAGAGAATGTGGCTGGAAGGCTGAAAAAAACATCCCCATCCCTGCCCTAAAGAGGGCAGCACAGCCTCTCTGGTAAACTCTCATGGTGCCTTTTTGCTGGCGATGTGACTGGCTTGCCCTGTGCCCTCTAAGCTAGCCTGCTGCCTTCAAGACAGCGGAAGACACTGTCCCATCATCAGTGTTGAAGAAAGATTCAACTGCCTGTCTGCTCAGCTTTTGTACATGGAAGGAGTGCCATCTTGTCCTTTGCCTCAGGCAGCGAACTTTCTTGAGCCAGCCCTGAGAATCAGGCACATAAATCCATTGAAATCAGTGAGGTTTGAGCCACGGTAGATGTGACAGGCAGCAACTCTGTTTAAATGTGCCCTGCTCATGTAGTAGGAGGGCTTGGGTTGGATCCTCTTTCTCTGTGACTTGGGCAGCTCTGTTTATTGTGTCCCTCAGGTGCTCTTAACTCTATGTAGGCTGGAGAGACTCATGTCTTCTGCTAGGATTGTCCACTTCTGAGACAAGCCTTGGTCATTATGTTTTCTGCTAGAAACTGAACCTACTGGCATATGAAACTCTTATTTTTGTTGTCAACAAGCAGTCACACTTAAATCTTGAGCAGAGAAAGCTTCAAATTTAAAGAAACACAATGAGCCCAGGAGAAAGATTCCTATTCTGCAGGCCTACCAGCTGAAGGAGCATTTGAAACATGTTTCTTGGCATGTTTGGTCTGCAGGGAAATGCAACCAGCTGGTTGCTGAGAGGAAGCAGAGGAGTGTGATACAGGCACGACCTGGAACTTCCTACCAAGAGGGTTATTCTGTCCCCTTTCTAATGACCCTCCATAAGATCCAACTTGGTGTCCCTCAGATGTTTTGGGCAAGAGCTCCTATCTGCCATAGCCAGCATGACCAATAGTCTGGCATAATGGGAAGAGTAGTACATAACATCTGGAGGGCAACAGATTTGGGAAAGCTACCCAAGATGGCGAAAACCTTCATGTTTAGGAAGGCTTTTGACCATAAATGGTCACTTCCTTTTTCAAGTGGGTTTTGCAATGCTTCAAATTTCTTTTGATGGTTTTATTATTATTTTTAAAAGATCTTTTTATCTCTCTGTTGTCCTACGGCAGCACTAATGTATCATCATATTGCTACCGTCAAATGGTTTTGAAAACTATGATTGCTTTACCTCATGTATCCAAACTGCCTTGGCTCATTGGGAAAAAGCAGGGTATAAATGTTTTTAATAAATAAATAAATGTCTCAGGGAGGATGAGAAATGAGGGAAAGAGTGGGAAGGGGAGATAATGTGGGGATGAACCTTGGCCAGGCTCTGATTGATTGGTTGCCTAACCACTTCAGGCTTGCCACTCTTGTACATTTAGATCTCTTGACGCAGCTCTCCTTGTACAAAGGGAACTCAAAATGGAAGTACTTCAAAGACTTTTTTATATTGACACTGTGGTGCAACTGAGTTCTTCATGTAGAACAGAAAATGTGCCACGTGTGTTAATTAATTCAATGTTTCTGACTCGAGTTAACCTGGACTCTGTAACGGCAAACGTTCCTATTATTTCACTGTGTTCTCTTGGCCTTGTTTTCTTATATTCACTCTTAAATTAATGTTTAGTGTTTTTACTGGTCATCTGGAGTAGAGTATTCCTCCCCTCCTAACAAAACAATCTGCATCACAATATGCTTTCCTAGACAAACAGTACCCTGCTCCAAACTGAAACATGAAAAATAAAAATAAAAAACCACCGAAGGAGAAAAAGCACACTTGGCTAAGCTCCGTTTAACATTATCTGATGTACAGTATTTGTTATCCTTAGATGGTCTGTTACTGTCTTTCCTTTCCAAAGCAATGTGCCAGCAACCATGTGTGTGTGATTTGCTTATACTGCACATCAGTCTAGACACCCACAGGGAAGTTGTCTAATTGATAGCACGTGCCTTTGGGTCACCCCCCGCAGAAGAGTCAGAAGCCATTGGCCTTGGCAAGGTGCCCCATCACACTATACACACAGACACACAGAGAGAGACCTATATCTACAAGGGGGCTGTTCAGCCTTGCTTTGCAATGAGTATATCTTTCAGGATGGCACTGATGCATCACTGTTCACTGGACGTATGGCTG